TATAAATGTGGTGCAGGTTCACTTTCAGATAAACAGTTTCAAACTTAAAAATTCATTTTAACATAAAAGCTGATTGTAAATATATAAAGGGTTTGTTTCAGCTACAAATAGATGACAAAAGATGTATAAAGAACCATTAAGCTTAAATCACAAGGTGATGTTTTGAAGACTGTCACACCTGATAGTTCTGCATTTACTTAAATATAATAAAACTGGTTAAAACAGTCATGTTTTTAATTACAGAAGATTCAACTATGATGAAATTCAGTTTCATGAACATGAACCTTTTCTTGACAAATTAGGATCATACTGTATGTGAGATTTTCAAGCGACTATGCATTTGTACATCCAGTACACGTGGTTTCAGGAGGTGAAGGGGCCTCCTCAGCTCTGACAGATTTCACATAAACCTGTTACTTGCTTTTAAACCTGTAAACCCACAGTCAAGCCTTCACTCTGTACCAAGGAAGAAAAGTCACCAGTCCAAACGACCAAGGTAGTTTTATTTCCATCATGGACAAATTCAAACAACTATAGCAGATTTTTAAACTAAACAGCAGGGATTTTACTTATTTTCAAGACTTCACAAAATAGGCTGCTATCTTGCTCATTCACCTTGCAAACAGGAGACAAAACATCATTTGCAGGAAATATTCAAAGTACAAACTTGGAACACGTTTCTGTTAACCAAGGTAAACGACTTGCTGTTGTGATATTTAAAGAATAGGCAAACCCACAACAAATAGTAAAAATTCCCCATTTTGGGGCTGTAGATGTTCAGTGCCCACAAACAGTTATATAGCAGTTATTTTACTGTCCATTTAAATGAACCAAATAAAGACTGAGACCTTACACTAGCCTTGCACATTGCCTCTGTCACTTCCGAGTTCAGACTCCGAACAAGTTGTGTTATTATAGTTTTGTTTCAGGCTTTGTTAGCTACAAACGTGAATCAGCTTGAGTGGAGCCATCTTGTACGTAAGCCTGCTTCAAAGCCCATACTGTAGGCGGATACATAACGCAATGATTGAGAGGTTTGTGAATATCTGTCTAAGAAAAGACAACTGTACCAAAGAGGTCAGACAGAGGAGTGAGCTAACGTGGTTTTACTCACAAACAAATTAAAAGAAGTTCATGATCTATTATGTTCTACACTGTTTTTGTAACTGTAAGTATTTGGCTGACTCAGCGTGTGTGTGGGCTCAAGGTTGACTCTGGATGTGTCTGCGCAGCTCCTGGGCCTTATCCCTCAAGTCAGGTCGGCTGTCAGACTGCAGCGTTGACAGGGAGCGCTGCAGCTGCTCACGACTCTTCACAGACACACAGTCCCACTGTTCACTCTCTGTTAATGTCACATGTAGACAAGAATATTTCATTAGTGACACTTGGATAATGATAATGATAATAATAACCCAAAGTATTGAATTTTAATCTGATGAAAGCGCTAGATGAAAAGGGAAGGGATCGCCAGACTGGCGGTTATTGGTTAACACAGCTTAGTGAGGCAAAAGGAGCGTTTGGTTTGATGTAAGGGATCCCACTGCTAATGCAAACACGGCCACAATCAGTGTCACGTGAGACTGAGTTCGCACAGGGATCTAAATCACACTCACAAAACGACTAATCATGCAGTCCTACTGGGAAACTTTAATATCTATACAAAATATTTGAGATATTTTAGCCTGACCCATAGTGGTAGTCCAACTGACCCACAGACAACCAACCAAAAACAAACATCCCATAAATTGTCAGTAGCATGGTAAATAAATTCCTAAAGCAAGAACAGGAAAGCAGTCACATGGAAGAAGAGGACTGGCTGCATGAATCCATTTGGACTCTGACAGTTAGTGAAAACAATGTGCAATAAATTTGCATAAATACAGTATGTCATTCATTTTAGTGCCTGGCAGAGGAGATGTTACCAACTGAAAAGCAAGACACTAACAGTCTTAGTAGCAAACAAGTCTTACCACCAGTTCTCTTTACGATCAGGTCCACAACTGACAAAGCCTCAGTCCTTACAGATGAGTAACTTTTGTTTTCTGCATAGAAAAAAAAAAACCCACCAATATGGTAATCAAATACATTCATAGTAGAGATTTATTCAGAGGATACTTAAACGATGAGGCCCTTACCTAAAGGGTATGTGAGAGCAGCACAGGTCTCTGTGAGGATGTGTGACAGCACATTGAAGTCTTTACTGCCCTTCTCTAGCAGCAGTAACCTGCCAACCATCCATAGCAACTCATGTTTAATCGTTTAAATAAAACTAATAATGAGAAAACTGTGAACAAACGTTTCTTTGTTGGTTCTCACCCCTGGAAGAATGCCTTCATGGACTGTAGAACAGCAAGCTGGACTTTCCAAGTGCTCAGCGTGAGCTTTTCACACATTAGACGGCACATCTCGACCTGGAAACGAGCTACAAACACACACACACACACACACACACACACACACAGTTCACAGAACATTTCTTATCCAACTGTTCAGCTTCTATTACTGTGAGAAACACTGGCAGTTGTCACCAGGGTTAAGGCCCTGATAATGTTCAGCCTTCAAGAGTTAAGACTTTTGAAGAGCAGAAGTCAATAGAAGAAATATTTCCAGCAGCAACACATATGGCAAACTAAAAATCATAATCATTTATCTACAGTTAATAAGTTTATCTCATTACACTCTGTACTATTTGATGAATAATAAAGACATTTAAAAGGGCCATATTTTACTTTGATCATTTTAGTGGTAAATGCATCAGTGCCTTTGACATATAATCTAAAAGCAAGAATTTAAAACTGTAATAAATGAGACAAGAGTAAAAATAGTGGTGCAGTTGTGACTGGGGGCTTGCTGCAGCTCACTCTGAGTCTCTGGGTTCCTGGGCCAAGTCTTTCCAAGGGTCTCAAAAGCACAGAGCAAAGCTTCAGTCTGCAGCTCTTTCCCCTTCATATCTCCATCATCATCATCATCATCATCCTCCTCCAGTGACCTTGGGGATACACCACCACTCTCTGGGCAGCTCTGTTGGGAGTAAAGAAGATAGACTGATATGCAGTAATGTCTTTACATAGTGCACTATAATATCAAATGAGTAGAAGTGACTGAACCTTTTTGATCAGAGGGAAAAGCATCTCTGCTATGTCACTGAAACGGTCCTCCTGGCTGCTGTGAAGCACATCTCCAGCACAGCGCAGAGCAGCCATTTTATACACCAGACTCTCCTTACGACATTCCTTCAGCACGACCTCCAGCACCTCAGAGATGGTGGGTTGGCCGGTGTAAGGCTTCTGTAGCTCAGCACTAAAAAACACACAGGAAGCAATAATGTATAAAAGACAGTAAATGAATATTGTCCTTCGCATACTGACATTAAGAGGAAAAAACTGTTGCTGGAGGTCTCACCTGCATTTGGAGACTACTGAGCCGACGGCTTTCAACAGCTCCTCCTGAACACAAAAGCAAAAACTAACTCAATACAACTTCTTTTTTTTTCTAACTTGTTTTGCAGTTGTATTAGCAACAGCGTTACCTTGCCAGCCCACGTGCGCCCAAATAGTCCCTGTATTAAAGCTGTTAGCACCAAGCCAAGGTGTGGTGCCACCAATGAGCCAGTCTGTTCCTTGGCAACAGTTGCCATGGCAGCTGCACCCTGAGCCTTCATTTTCCAGGACTGAGACTGCAGCGCTTTCTGTGTGATAGCTATCAGCTCCGTCATGTAGAGTCTGATGCCTCCAAAGCTTCCTGGAATCAAAGGAAAGTTGAAGGGATAAAAGGTCATGCTATCACAAAACTGTACACGTGTTCCAAAATGCTATATGTCCACTGTTGTATTTGTTACTTCTAAACGAACAAATCTTCTTTAGAAGTATTCCATTTTGTTGGCCAAGAAATTTAATCAGCTGGGTCTCTGTAATAATGTCACTATTTCATGTAGCAGATCTTATTTTATTTATGCCAAATGAGTACGTCTCACCTGGGACGTTCTCCTGCCACACCTCAGTCCACAGTATGGCATCATGGCTCTCTCCTTTCTCCTCATCCGGACCTGGCGCCTGATGCATTCCCAGGAAGGCCAGTGGAAGAGCCACTCCTGCATGGCTTTTGAGCACATCAGGACTGTAGTGGCTGATGGCATGCACGGTCAATGCACATGACGACTTATACACCGGCTCTGGAGGTAGGAGAGAGGAACAGGAGAGAAGACACAGTCACAAATGCACAGTTCAAATATTATATATTATATATGTTGACATTCCCAGCGAGGAAAAATAGTTCATTCTCTCACCCTCTTTCTCCAG